GCTCTTTTTCCCTGCTTGGTGTTCTTCTCCTCCTTTCATGAGAAGAAGGCCTTGGACTCGGCGACTGGCGGTGCCGCGGCCGGTATTGATGTCTGTCATCCTCACACAATTCACTGCTGTTTTCACTTGCATTGGCTTTCCTTGTGTCCTCTTCATTGGAGATGGTGTCATTGTCACAGTGGTCAAAATCGTAGCTTCTCTTTGAGCCTGAGTACCTTCTCCTGTGTTCTCCAGAGGCAGCAACAGCATTGCCTGAAGAGCTTCTGCTGAGTCTCCCACACTGTATGAGAATAGCATCCACCTCTTCTTTCGTGCAGCTTGAAGTCCTCACTGCTACTACTGCTGGTGGTGGTGCTGCTGGTGCAGTTTTGTCACACATTGATTCAGTGGTGGCGTTCTGCTGAGCTGTGTTGGAGTTTCTCTCTCTGTCATCATGGCTCTTCCTGTGCTTGATGATAAAAATCTCTTTTTTCACATGCCCTTCACCTTCTGGCACTGTCTCATGCTTCTCTTCCACTTTCTTAGTGTTCTCCTTGTTCAGTTTCACTTCTGGGTCAGTTTCCACCTTGAGTTTGGAAACAGTGACACCACTAAGAGAAGGACTCTTCAGCTCAGGCACAGCAGGTGCTGTGGAAGAAGATGACTTGGTTGCAGCAAGAGGGGAAGGGTTAGAAGGAGAAGACTCTTTCTTCTTACTGAAACATGCACCCATGGAATTTTGAGAGAAAGATTCTCACCTGAAGAAAAATGGAAGGTGAAATGGTGTTAAGAAAGAAAGAAAAGGAGAATGGAATAGAATAGGGGGTGTGGAACGCTGTCCAAGAATCAATTTTTAAAAAAGATTGTAGCCTTTTTATTTGTGAGAGAGAGAGAAAATATTCAAAATTTGAAATGCAGAGCGGGCTGCAACACACAGATCCGTTAAGGGTCAAGTTGGGTTCTCTGACCCCACAAAATCACTAACTTAAATATCATAATGTCTTTTTTGACCATACATGGACGTACCACTACCACATACAGTAATAAATATTAAATAGCATTTTGCTTGCCCTTCTTATTCTGTCATCATTCAAATTTGGTACAACGGTTATACTCATTTGCTTGCCGTGTTGTATTTTATTTTTGTTGGTTAAATTAATAAGCAACGGCTACACGTTTGGAATTTGTAATGAACAAGAGTGTCTAGTCTACACAACTTCATCAACAAATCTGGCAATTGCCTTTACCAACCAGTCAACTGTGATGGTACAAGAACGCTTGAAAGGAAAAGACAGTCAAACTTTTTAAATTACAAAAATTAAAAAAGAAATAAACACTGACATTATCCAAATGTGCACTCCAATGCATAGCCCTTGATTATACGGTTCATCATTGAGTATTCAATAGTTGGAACTTATTTGGTCGCTTACATAATAGTTTAATCTCATGCAACTTGTGCTTTATTTAAAGATTATGTGAAACAATAAAAAATAAAAATAAAAGATTATGCGTGGCATTCACATTTTTAACGGCACGTAAGTACTCAAAAACCACATTGCAGGTGCAATGCCTCCAACAAAATATTCAATGAAACATAAAACATCAATTTACAATCTCAACTACTTTAGTGAAACAAAAAAAATCCAACTATGGCAACATTTTAGCCCAGGCCATACAGTCACTGTCGGCGTGTCGGAATGGATGCTGTAACCATGAGCCTGCAGTATACAGCCATGAGCATGAGTTTTGCTTAGTTTCTTGTGGTTAGGCAGAGCTAATCTCATTGCTCATCAGAAAAGGCATGCATAACTTGACCCAGTAAACAGCAACAACGCACAGATGCATCAAGGTGAACCTACTCCAGGGAAGAGTTCTGATATTTTATTGAAGACATCCATAACCTGAAATGTTAAGATCATAAAACATCATTAGAGGAAACATTCAAGATCCAAATCTTTATACATTAACATTGTTTATAGGTTTAAGATATCATTTAGTCCCCGAGATTTTTTAGAATTTTTCATTTAGGTCCCTATGCTAAAAAAAATTGTAATCAAGTCTTTCTATATTTTTAAATTTCTGTAATTTAGTCCTTGGGATAAAAAGTTTGTTTGAAATCCATAAAATTTCATAAAATATTCTTAATACATACGGATGATAACACTATGATAATCTAATATGGTTGTCTAAGTATGCTGATATTAAAAATATTGTGAAATTTCATAGATCCTAAACGAACTTCAAACCACAATGACTAAATTACAAAAATATAAAAAGATGAAGGACCCAATTACAACTTTATTAGTTTAAGGACTTAAACCTTATTTGTATTCATTAGAAATTACTGAAAGGATAATTATTATAGCATTATTCATTAGAAACATGGTGAAACATACGCAAATTCAAAATATTCCTATTAAAAGCTATTGACTAGAACCTCTCTATCAATTCTTAAGGGGGAAAAATATATTTATTTTCTCCACATGATGTCATTGATTAATTTATTGAACCATGGAAATTTAGTAATTCCAATATGATCAACTTATCTACGTAGTCTCATTGAAAGTCATCAAAAGGTTGTCACCTGACATAAACCTGAAACTAACTACAATCTAGACCAAAAAATAAGGATCGGAAGGTAGTGTGTGGAATAGAGAACCCATGCATGCAACAGAGCCAACAGGAAACACAAGTTGAAAAAACCAAACTCAATAAGTACATTCCTCCAGGGAAAACAAAATTGAAGCCAGAGAAGTATCAACGTATACCTCCTTATCATTTTGGTATTTAGTAATATTCATCGGATTCTGTGAACACTGCAAGCACAGGAAGATATTTAAATTAGAACAATAAAATATGAATGACCAATAAAATATTTAAATTAGAACAGAGTTTTGATATGAATAACCAATAAAATATTTAAATTAGAACATACATCCATGATAGCTGCTTGAACTCTAGGATTTTGAAATGCCATTGCAACATCAGGATTTGCCATAATCTTTGAAATGACTTCTTCTGGAGAAAGCCCAATTTGATCTGGTGAAAGTATAAATATATTCAGAAAAGACTAATAGTGGGAAGAAAAGTTCATACTTAAGCTATTAACATTTGAAAGGAAATATAGAAGGCGATATTATCAAATACTTAAATCATCAGTCTCGCAACTTTGGAAATTTTGATTAACTAAACCTAGAGACAGGGAAACTATTGAGCAATTGGTGATGATCTTCAAGAATCAAGATGATCAACTAAGTAGAAGATATAATTCCCACAGAACGGAAGCGAAAAAGGTGATTATGTATTTGAGAATGTTTTCAAGTCAATAAGTAATAAGATTAGCTAGTGAATTTGCAAGACATAACAATATTATTATAATAACCTACCAAATTGCTGCTTGACTTCAGGACTATTAAGGTCAAAATTCTTTAAGGTGTCCATCATTCGGCTGTCCCATTCAGTGTTTCCACTCATGTTGTTTCTGAAAGAAAAAAAGAGGAAACATATGAATCTCTTTACACATCCGAGAAGATTTTATACCATAAATTTACAAAAATATGCATAGATTTATCTAAGTGCAGCACATAGGATGAAGCTTCAGATGGAAATAACAAATAAAAATACATTTATCAGCTAATTAAGATCTCAGTCAATGCAATGATATGGAATGTGATTGTTAGTAAACTCTAAAAACTGAGCACTTGTAGTTAAAAAGCACGTGAATCCTATTTCCTAATTCCTAACAACATTAAAGCTAAATCAACTAAATGAGAATTTTAGAGGCTAATAACTGGATTGTGAATTTTAGAGTACTTTTTCATTCACCAGCAAACTATTTTTTCTTGAAATATGTCAAGCAAGCTTAATGCAGGTAAGCATTTTCCCAGAAGCTTAGCTGTCCAAATAACAATTGAATCCATGGTGAATGAGAATATTGATGAAACAAAATGGTTCTGAATAAACAGTATGAAGAACTTACAGCATTTCTTCAAGTTGTTGACGGTACTGTGGATTCTTAAGCATCCCTATTAAAAACAGTAACAGTACAGAAACTATTACTCAATGACCAATTATATTAAGATGTCAAGTAGAAATTAATATCTACCAGTTGAGAAGAAGAAAAAAAAAATCACTTTTGACCCACAAACTATTTTCAAACTACATAAAGTGCGTCCATTATATCATGTTGGAAAAAAATGAAAATGGAAATCCACATAGAACTGTTGTATATAGACAATATTGTACATGTAAAAAAGTGATAACAAAGTCGGCATTATTGTTAACTATGATTTATTTCCAGGAAGGTGCTAAACAATGAAAATTACACTCTGCACAAATGATGAATCTTAAAACTCTGATTAGCAGAAAACTGTTAAAAGTAGAGAATTACATTTGAAGGTAGCAGGGTTCCTCATTTCCTCGGGTAAATAGCTGCAACAGAACCAAAAAAAAGTTACTTCTGTAGGATAAGTGGAAAAGGTCCATAAATAATCTAAACAAGCATGTAAGTCATATCTGTAAATTTTCAACAAGTAATCATAAACAAAATCACATCGGCAATCAGTTTATTGAGAATGTAAGAATCAGACACAGCATAAGTTAGCTCCATTTAATGATCAACAATTAAAAGGCTACCGGCAAACCAATTACACTTTCTTTTTGGATACAGAGTTTTTATTAGAAATGAAAGCATACAGAAGTACATGTTTCCCCTAAAACTATCATAGGCAAAGTACCAAGAGGATGCAGTAAAAAGATAATTACAAGCACCGGTAGAATTTTAGACACATCTAAACTTCCAAAGTAAATGTTTCAAAATAAATAAACAAAAAAACAGAACCACTTCAAACCCCAATTATGAATATCACAGGGACTAGTACCACTGTCATCAGCACTTCTAAAATTAGAGACTTCAATATATTTAAAACTAGAACCTACTTAAAGTTTAAACATATCCATATTTATACTGTGCTGACAAAGCCACAATAGACGATAACTATTTAGTGAGTGTTTGGGAGAGATCAAATCTCCCATTTCAGCTGTTTTTGTTAGAGGAAAGCTGTTTGCAAAACAAAAAAAAAGTTGGATTTAGGATAACTTAAATTTGTAAACAGCTTTTTTCCTTGAAAAATAAGCTGTTTTTATGAAGCTAGAAATTTGAAACTATGCACATATACAAAGTGGCACCGTAAATAATCAATCAATCCCTTCTATGTGTATTAAAAAGTATATGGTATATTTTTTTTCACTAAAGTTAACAAAGTTGAAAGAATATATACATCACATTGTTCGATATTATAAATACAAAAAAAAAAAATTAGATATTCATAAAGTGATCATCAATGATTATTTCTAAACAGCTTTTTTTATGTCAAACTGATTTTTTTGTTGTATCCAAACGAAATTAAATATCTTCAAATCACTTGTCAGAAAATTTACCCAAATAAATTTTTCTCAGATTATAATCGATTATAACAATAATCGATTATTGAAATAATCTAATTTTTACAGCTTTCCCAAACACACCCTGGAAATGAAAATTTATAATCAATATAAGATGGAAGGAACTAATATTACGGAAAAATCATCTTCTGCACTGTTGGGTCCTCCAGCATTTCCTCCAGAGCTTCCACTGACAAGACTGATTTTCCTGTCCAAAAATTAAAAATGACACATTTAGGACATTTGATTAACCCAGAAAGCAGCCCATTGAAGGAAACATTAGAGGAAGATAATTGCAAAAACAACAAATATTTCAAGACAACAAACAAGGTTTAATTAAATTGATATAAGCCAGTAGCACCAACATGATTAGAAAATGATCCATTTTGGAACTAAACAAATTTGTTTGATGACACCATTTCAATTCAGGTAATGAAATATTTAGAGCCAGAAAGTATATGATAGTTGACAAGAATGAATTTATAGTAAAGAGAAAAACTAGAGACATATGAAGTGCACATGATCCATCATAAACTCAACGATGATAGCAATATTAAATCAATATTTGCTATCATAATAATGCCAAGAGCAACTTATTTGGAAGGACTGATATAAAACAATTTTTCATGCCAACATATTTCCTAGATGTATTTCTTGTAAGAGCCTTGAATGAACCACACCACAAAAGCTAGCTCTTGTAATGGGAGAGCCCAAGGGACCTTAATAAACACCACACTAGAATCTCCTACTTTCAATGTGGGAATCAAGTCCCATACCATGAAATTAGATCCTAAAACATCCCAACACACTCTGCAACCCCATTTTGACTAGTGCGCAGCCAGTCAAGTGGATGCCAGAGCTGCCAAACAGAAGTATTCGTACAGTGGCAGATGTGGTGGGCCGGTGATTTTAGAAGTGTCAACAAGAAGAAACAAGAAAAGGAAGGAGAACAAAAAAAGGGCAGAAGTGGAACACATGAACACATTTTTTAGCCTAGAGGGCCAAGCAAAAGTTATCAAAGAAAAATAGTTGGCACAAAGTAAAGTGGTTGATTCTCCTAAGGTTCTTATCAATCACATTACATGGGGTTTTCCACCAATAAATCCAAATTGTAGACATTTTCAATTTCAAAGGACTCTACTTACTTGTAGATTGAGAACCAGAAAAATTACCAAAACCTTGGTTAGAGGGTGCTCCATTTTGAGAAACCTTCAATAAATGCATATTGCATATTAAGAACAACACAAGTCACTGAACTTCTTTAGCAAAAACATATATCTCAAAAACTCACTTCATCTGGAACCCGGGCTTCCTTGACTGAACTTGATTCATCAACATCTTTAAAATTTTCAAAAGGACTCTTCTGCGCAGTTTCCTCAGGAGAAACATCTACAAAAGCTATAATAGAAAATCTGAGGAATTTTAACAAAAAAAGATTCAACGTTTATATGAATATAAAATCAGACAACATCAGATATCATATCTGCTACTTATGACTCCCTATGTTTTCCATCTTCACTTTTCATTGCAGAAGAATTATTTAAAAAAAAAAAAAAAAAGCTTATCTTGATTGAAATAGTGTTATTAATTATTTCAAATATTTTTAATATGAAGCAATTTCTAACAGTTAAGCTTCTGCATTTGGTTTTCTCATTCCTAATTTCCCACTTTCTATTTCTCAACATTATCCATTTTCTAAATTTAGTTTCTGAATATATGATTGCTGTGGACTCACTGGCTCATCCTCTAATTTGATATAACAGTACATTGCGAGTACAAGTCACTGAAAAACATGTGGGTTAGCAAACTAGCATACAAGAAAGGTTAAGCAAATAATAGGTACAGATACACTCATGCCTCATCTCAAATACTACACAAAAGTAAGGGAGCTAAAAGATGGGTTCATGTGCTCTCTAGTTTCACAGTTAATACTCAGTAGCTTGCCACTAAAATTAAGACAAAAATAATTGAGAGATACACTTGCATGCAGGAAGGAGTTCAAACAATAGTGACATACATTCATCCCAGATACAACAGAAGTAAGAAAGCTTAACCTTATTATCTTATCGGCAAGAATAATGAACCGTTCATGGTAGGATGAACCAGTTGGCAATACTATTTGGAAGATTCCACAAAAAGAATGTTTTGATATCAAGTTGAGCATAGCAAAACCAAATTCCCCTTTAATCTTGTCTAGCATGTTAGCGGAGTTATATCAATTATAAGTTAGAACAGTGATTCCACTAAAAAGCTAACTGTAGTAAATCTAATATGTAGGCAGTAAAGATAAAATGAAGAGCCTATCATGGGCTTTTTTTTTAATTTACCTAAAACCAAATATTCATCTCCTAGTGGACACATCATCTCAACATTTATAAATTTCACAAGTAGTATGTCTCATCCAACAAGAAAGAAATAGAAGTGCTAAGCAGAGATTGTTAGTTACCAATTTTTTTGGGTTCGTTCTTTACTTCCTCTTCATCCTTAATATTAGTAGTTGGGGAAGGTTCTACTTTGGTTGCAGGTATATCTACTGTGACAGTAGATTGAGATGCATTATATGCTGGAGGTACTTGGTATTGTGTAGCTGCAGAACTAGCAGGTGTAGTGGGCCCTGATGCTGAAGGCGTTGAAAAGGGAAAAGGAGATCCAGGAGAAAAGGCAGCATTGTTAAATTGGTTATTTTGTGAATTCATCTGGCCCATCATGGTCTTGAAAGCTTGTTGCATTGCATATTTCTAAAAGAAAATCAAAAGACAAATGTTTAAATTATGTAAAATGTTCAGGGTTAGTTCTTATAGTTCTACAAAGAACCCTGTCAAAAACCTTGAAAAATAATGTTAGAGTTAGACAGGGCATCTACAAGAACTGATGAAGTGATAGGACTGAGCGCATGGATCAAGAGGCTGAGATTAAGCACAAAAATGTCTTACAAGTTTAGGCTATAAGACTTGCAAGACGTACTTTTTGGGCTTAATCTTGACTTCTGATCCATGCTCCCATCCCTTTCACAAAGAAATACAAATACTAAAAGATGGCATCACAAACAATACCCAGATTGTCATAAAGATAAATCAAAATCTCAAATTCAATAAAACTCTCAGAATGATGTATTCTTATTATACTTCCCAAGATTAAAAGTTATTTAAAAGGTCATGTGTCATTTAAAAAAGCTGCATGATGGTTACTTTCCAATCTCAACTATTCATTTAAGATCTGAAGGTGAAGATATGCTCTTATTACTCTAACAACAAACCACTCCTCGGACTTGCTATGGTCCCTATACCTTATAGGTTATGTCATAACTCAAAGAATGCAGCAGCCTATATCCGTGATTTTCAAAATTTCTTACATCTTACACCCACAGTTACAGTGAAACTCAAATAACAAACCAGCTTATATCAATATTCAATGCCTTGCAATAAAGTGGCACTCACCTTTAATCTTGAAGCTACCTGCGAAAACAATAACACACAATTTATTAAACATACAGCAAAGATAAACTCTTCAGTGTAAGTAAAGTAGAGTTGTGACTATGCTTCTCGGTTCTCACCATTGAAAACAGTGCAGAAAATCCAACACCAACACCAATCCAGAAGAGAGGTGACCCTCTAGAAATATAGTAAATAGACAAATAAGAATGTGAACCGAAAAACATATCAACTAATTGAAATGAATAAAATATACATCAACCACACCCACCTCCAGTATTAACCATCATAAAAACATGAGACAAAACGATTCTAAAGAAAATTAATAAGCAAAAGACGAAAGAAAAAAAGAAAAAAATAGTCAATGATTACATAGTTGAAGACGGAGGTGGTGCTAATTGTGGATTAACTCCAATTGATGTTGTTTCTTGACCCCTTGAAGAAGAAACACTAGCAAAACGCTTCACTATCAGCTTCTCCTGCACTGTATTCCCAGCATGCATTACTTGTGTGTTTTAAGAGATGAGTTAAAAATATTGACAGATATTAAACTTGTACAGCATGCACTCATTAATAACAAAAGAAGAGAAGTCAACACACACGATAATTATGCATTGCCAAAATGGATTCAAAATACACAGACATGCAGCTAATATTTATCCATGGATTTACAATTCTATCAACTACAATCGACCTTGGGCATGTCCTTGCTCCAAAATTCAGGATCCAATCCCGTCCACAAACACGACATGCTAATAGTAAAACTAATTGCAAAAACATTTTAGTGTTTTATTAAAACTTGGGCCATCTGTTTGCACTTTTTTAAGAAAAAAGTGTTTTATCATAAAAACACATAATCTTAACACGTTCAAAAGCCAAAATCCCGGATAGGATTAAAGTTTTAAACTTTTCTTAAAAGTCAGAAAGAATACATTCTAAAACAAAGGCCATATAACAAAAGGTGCCTTTTTTTTAACTGCTTATCCAAACACACCCTTAAACCCCCGAAAATGTCAACATATTGTATTCATAGCTCTAGTCACATACCAAAAAGAATCAACATGTTCAATTCAGTTTTTTTCTTTAAATTGTTGCACTTAAGAAGAAACAAACAAAACAAAACAACCACATCAACAGCATCATTGACCTATCAATTCACCTCAAAGTCAACAACACACATTTCATTGGATTGAACCCCATCAAAATCCAGTGAATCTCTTTCCTACCAAACATAAATTCTAACAATAAACTCCACCCCACCCCCAACACACACAGAGAGAAAGAGAATAGTAATAAAACAAAAATAGATTTCCAAAACTGAATACCAGATTTTGCGCCATGATGTGAGGAAGAGAGTGCAGAAACACGGAATCTGCAACGGTGAGGAGCAACTAAGGCCCTCCCAAAAGAGAAAGGCTTTCTCCCAAAAACGTCTCTGGCTGAAGCGTCTTTAGCAGAAGCATGACCCAACATCAAAGGTTTTGGGGAAGACACAAGGGCCAAGTTAAGCTTCTCCATCTTCTTTTGGCTTCCAAGCTATGGAACCCAAAGTCAAACAACACAGAAATTTAGAACAACAAATGGATTGAATCGGTGGAAATCAGTAGTGATAGGAGTGACAGTGGTGGGTTTTGGAATTAAAAGGGGATTCCAATTTTTGCGAAATTTATGAACTTTAAGAGATTTGAATAAATGGGGTTTCAAGTTTGGGAAGTGGCGAGTGAAGGTTTTAGTTTTGGTTGGTAGGGATAAGTAAAAAAATATAACAAAACAAAAACTACGAACTTTACAAATATTAGAACGATGTCTTTTGTAGAAATTAAACTCATAGAAACATAGAATACTTGGTGACATTTATTTTTTCCTATTATTTTCAATCCAGATTAGTAAAGGAGAGGTGTTTAATTTTTTTATTTTAAATTAAAAATATAATTTGATAGTTATAATTAGTATTTTAACTGACATATACATATAATTTTAAATTCAAATTCTATAATCATCATTATAATTTTAATAAATTAAAAATAATTGATATATGTGTAATGTAAATGATACATGTTTATTATATATAAATAAAATTTATAAAAAAAAACTATATAAGTATTATATATTTACTTAAATGTATAAATAATATTTCAAATTTGTAAAAAAAATATTTTAAATGTATAAATTATATTTTAAATTTATGATGAATAATTTATATTGATATATAATTATTTTTAATTATTGATATTTTATTTTAAAATATTAAATTTTAATTTATAAATAAATATAATAAATAAAAATTGAAATAAATACATAGTTAAAGAAATTTTTTAGGTCGTCTCACAAATGTTCTCGTTAAAATTAAATTTTTTAAATCATTATCATGCGAGATAGTGAATTGTGTATAATATATAAAAGTATATTTTTAATGTAATTTTAATTTTATATTGTTTTCATATAAAATTAATTAAATATATAACATTATCTAATTCTCTACTTTTTATGTATAAGTTAATATAATTATATTGAATGATAATAACTTTAAACTTTATTAAAATACTTTTAAAAAAGTTCTTTAATAAAAGTATTTGTAAAAAAATAATCTTTTAAACTTTTCAATCTACATTTAAAAAGAAAAAATCTTTCAATTATGTTTTGACTAGTTCTGAACAACTCTAATTTACTTTTGTTATTTTAAATCATGAGAAAAATAAACAATTCATGTCTCTCTAATTAAAAATAAAAATAAAAGAATAATAAGTGATTATTTAAAAAAAAAAATGAGGTTTGAAAATTGAATATTATTAAAATAGAAAAAGAAAGAGAAAATAAATAAATACATAAATAAAAGATAATGAAAGTAAAAGTGGTCCAGATATAATTATAGGAATAAATTATCCTAAAATTTATATATAATTAATAGGTAGTTTGTGCCTTTGTTAAAATTAGAGAAAATAATAATTTTTTATGACAATTTTACTGCTTTAATATTTATGATAGTTTCTTACAATTTTCTTTAGAAGTTATTAAAAATAAAATGGTATTGAAATTATGGACACTTAATGGAGTAAACTTTAGTATAAATATAGCTTAACAAATCACTCACCAAACTAATTAATTGAATTGGTCCATGCAGTGACTAAACCATTTGAGTCGAACAATTTGGTTGAGAATTATTTTTCATATATACATCTTTCAATATAAAATATTGGTTTAATTATATTTTTAGTTTTTAAAAATTAGGATAAATTTATTTTGATTTCTCAAATTTAAAATAGATTTTTTTAATCCTTATAATTTAAAGAAATCTTGTTTTAATTTTTATAGTCAAATTTCGTTGGTGAATCTTTAAAAAATTTTACACAAAATTCATATACTAATTTTCTTGTTAGTAAAAACATGAAATTAAGCTCAATTAATACTACATAATTATTTTAATTTGAGAGACTAAAATTATATTTTTAAAAATTATAAGACTAAAAAAATCAATTTTTAATCTTAAAGATTAAAAATAAATTTATTCTAAATTTAAAGAAATACAAATATATTTAAGCATAAAATATTTAATTAAGATTATTTTTTATACATATTCATACGGTTATTAAGGCATCAAAATCAATTTTATCCTGAAAGTAAACTAGGTTTTTTGACCGTGTCAACGTATAGGGAAAACAAAATATGTAGTGTACATATTGATTTATTTTAATTCATTATTTAATAATATGTATAATTAGTTTCAATATTTGTATAAATAAATGAGTACATTATGTTACCCTCCCATAAATTAAGAATATTGCACTACTCTCCTCTCTTATGTTAAAATATAAAGTAAATTACACCTCCTCTCTTGAAATACTAATGTTCTGTTTGTGCTTCCCTTAACAAATTTCAATATATAATATTTGACCAATTTTCAAAATTTTTCATCAAAATCTGTTAACTGTTGTTATAAAATGATTATTATCAAAATACCCATTACACTAACATTCCCTCGATAAGATATAAATATTACATATTTTCATATCTTATGTTAAAGTAAATATTTTCATCTCTTAATAAAAATAAATATGTTGCATTTTAACAATTTATCTGTTGATTCACGTATTTGATTATTAATTTAAAAATTATTATAAATTATACTAAAGTTAATTATATATTTAAAGGAAATATTTTCATTATTTTGCACGAAATATTTTTTAAGTTATCAAAATAAAAATAATACTTTAGAATATAGATTTCTTGACCGACAAGTTTTTAGAGCATGTTTGTATCATCCTCTAGTTTCTTTCAATAAAAAAGTTATAACAAAGTAAAATTACGTTCAACATGGCTTTAAAATTCGGGAATAGAATAAAACAAACAAACACATGTCTTTTGCTAAAGGTGTTTATGTCATCCCAATGCATATAAGTAGATGATACCTTCAAGACATCTGTTGTAGCTCATTTGTATAATTGTATTGTTGATCATAATCCAGCTCATCATTGCCTTTTTTACCTTTCCCAACAAAAATTATGAAAGAAGACAAGGGAGGCAGTGTGGTGTATTGAGTGAGTTACTCTTCCCTCCCAACATAAAATTATTACAAAACACTTAGAGCTATAATTTTTTTTAAAAAAATTACAAAACACTCATTAACAATAAAAAGTGAGCTAAAAAAAGACTAAAATATAATAAATAAACTAGCTAATAAAAAAATAAACAACAATTAGAAAATTAGGGGCAATGAGTTCAAATAAATTTAGAGGGGGTGAAAAATCATAACACAACACAAATACATGTATTATCTTTAAAGTTATGCACCCACCAACTGTTTGTAGGCCTGCCATTAAGAAGGAGCATAGGTCACAGGTTGAGGCATGGTGAAGTACATATTAAATGCTTTGATGATAGGATATCATTTGTTGCCAGAGTTTGATGGAGAGGTAGTGATGGTGGTTCATGTTTTTGCTCATGGGATGAGTGGCAATGGTGGATGGAATTTGAATCCCCTGCCTCTAGTGCTCAAAAGTTACTCTAACTTTTGAATGATTTGGCCATCAAATAATAAAAGCAAATAAGATTTTGACATGTATCAATAAATACTTTTAACATTTATATACATTTACAAAGTGAGAAAGCTTCTTGCAAATGAAGAAACTACAAAGTCTCATCTTCTTTGACAACTCATCTTCTCCTATGATTACTTCCATGAATTCGAAGGTGTTTCTCACCATAGTTGTTGCGGAGCACCCTGCATGGTTGTCGAGCATAGTTATTGTGAAGCATCCTCCATAACTATTGCAAAGGAGCTTCCATGGTTAGTTGTTGTAGAGCATTAAAAGATGTTATATGACATCTTGGTAAGGACGTTTTCTATATTAAAAAAAATTCTTTGTACTTAAACAATATTGTAATATTCATTTATCTAATAGTTCAACTTATATTTAAAACCCTTAAATTAAATTTGTTTTGTTTACTTCTTTTTAGTTTATGGTTATATGATAATGAAATTAAGGTATTTTAAAATGTACAAGTATATATTGAAAGTTATAGTTATTTATTTATTTATTTATTTTTGCATTCATTTGCTAGGAAGTATATTATGAAATCTTTAAATGTTGATTGGAAACCAAGGGTAGATATGAAAAGATAATCACCCTTTGCAAACTTTCAAAAACAATGCACATGCTTGCATTGCATAAAAAAGACAACTGAAGTATAAACTTATGAAATTGATTGGACAAATAACTTTGAATCAAGACAAAAGCCAACATTTCAACTAATGAGTACACATGCAAGACATAAAGCTAAAATTGGATACACACAAATAGATGTTAAAAATCATCTCAGAGCAAAAAGACAAAAAAGTATGGTGTATGGTGAAATAGGATGTTTTTTACAATATTTTCAGCGATAATTGTTGGAGACCTTGTCTTTCTTCCATGTATACTAAATAGATATAGACAAGTAAATCACAAATGTATATTGGGCTAATATAAATATGTTATTGGATTATGGGTATTTTGGTGATGTTGTGTCATTGGATACTACATGTTGTATCAATCATGCAACAGGTCACTTGTTTTATTTTTTTTTCTTCTTCAGTTTCAACCATTATAGAGGTACTACGATTTTTGGTGTAGTATTATTGTACAATGATTTATGTACTTGACACTTGTTTCAAAATGGAATTAAGCACCTTGGTAATTTAATGAAAGAAAGAAGTTATTTTGTAAGAGATTTCAAAAAATGCATGTATAACATTGACATTGAAGTAGAGTTTGAGTAGACTATAATGCTCATGATAACAATTGAATTAAATTAAGAAAAATGAGTATTATGTCACATGAAGGAAAAATTTACACTTGGAATGTGAAGTGCTCAACTTAGTAAATGTTTGAATTCTAATTTTAAGTCTTGCATGAATTTGAATGTGTATATTATCCAATTTTTCAAATACTTTAAACAAGTTGTTGAAGAGAAGAGATATAATAAGTTGACATGTAAATATGAGTCTTTACATAAGTTTGTAATGTTGAGATATGAATTGATATAGATATTCATACAAGAGTTAATCATTTATACACTGTCAGTGTAAAGTTTTTTACACTAACAACCAATCATATCTTTTAAAGTTACTTAATTTATTATTATTTCATTAAATAAGCAGCTGACATAATATTATTAAAATATATAATTAATTGTCAGTGTAAAAAAACTTTACACTAACAATATATAGTTAATTAACTCTTCGTACAAATGAAAAAAGTATACATTAATATTGTATTTAACTTATATCCAAATAAGTTTAAACTTTTTCTAACTTCATGCATATTGAAAAAGAAATAATTTTTTTATGTCAAATATGTTATCATTAGCGTGAATTACAAAAAAATCTTAAAAAGTATCATTTAATCGTTGGTACTTTAAACTCTAATTTATAGTTGTAAAAAGTTTGACACATTCAACATATTTTATTCATATACATCAAACTGACTTACTAATGTTGCTTCAATTCAAATGTTTTTTTTTATTACAAGATTCTCTATAAACAACCTTTGAGGATAAAAATTATGGATAGAAATTTTTGTACTTTCATAAACTGAGGCGTGATGTAACAATCTTTTTAAATTAATTGTGCAGTCCTCCTTTCAGTATCAGAATTCAACTTTTAATTTCATTTCTTATTCTCTTTCACCGTTGACATATTTTCAAATGGTGAACACTTTTGAAAGATTTATTTTGACTTTTATTTTACATGGGAAATTACTATTTCTCTATTGTCAAATTTATTTAAATTTTAAATTTGTTATTTTGATTAAAAGAAGCTTTATTTCATTATATTATATATACACACAATTTTATCACTGGACTTAATAATAGATCTTAAGTGAGAAGAATAAACATGGAGAAATGATTGGAAATTTAGAGCCTTGCCGTGAGAGAATTGGAATCCGTGGTGAATGATGCAGATTGCAGATCAACAATAGACATTTCATGTAATATATTAATTTAAATTTATACGATACTTTTTTCAGTAATTATCTTAATTTTTATCTTTTTTTATTATTATACTTTTTTATTTTAAAAAATTGTTAAAAATATTTTTAATTAAAATTAAAAACTTAAAATTAATAAATTAATCATAATATCAATTAAATTAATATATTTTTATTATTTTAATTTTAATAGTATAAAATATATAAAAAAAATAGTTATTAAGCGATCCGTGCCACTCTCATTCCATTATCCAATGGAAGTAAGCGACGAAGGGAACGTGACGAGGGTGCAATCTCTCGCCCAATCGGGTCTCTCCCGGGTCCCGCCCCAATACATCCAACCACCGCAAACCCGACCCGTTCGCCAACCCGACCCGACACAGACCCTTCCAGTCATCGACCTCTCTTCCTTCGACCTCGCCGCCGTCGCCCACGCCTGCCGCCACTGGGGCGCCTTCCACGTCACCAACCACGGCGTCCCGCCCTCCCTCCTGGCCGCTCTCCGCCGCGCCGCCCTCTCCTTCTTCATCGACACCCCCATGCCGGAAAAGCTCCGCTACGCCTGCTCCCCCGCCGCCCCCGCCTCCGAGGGATACGGAAGCAAGATGCTGGCCTCCACCTCCGAGTCCTCCTCCACCGCGCTGGATTGGAGGGACTACTTCGACCACCACACGCTCCCCCTCTCGCGGCGGAACCCTCTCCGGTGGCCGGAGTTTCCCCCCGAGTACCGGGAGACGGTGGCGAGGTACAGCGAGGAGATGAAGGGTTTGGCGCAGAAGGTGCTGGGTGTGATTTCGGAGAGTGTTGGGTTGCGAGCTTCGCGTATTGAAGATGCGGTTGGGGAGTTTTATCAGAATGTGACGGTTAGTTATTACCCTCCGTGTCCCGAACCGGACCTCACGCTGGGGTTGCAGTCCCATTCGGATATGGGGGCCATCACGCTTCTCATTCAGGATGATGTTGGCGGGCTTCAGGTTCTCAAGGGTGACACGTGGGTCAATGTTCAGCCCTTGCAGGATGCTGTTCTTGTTCTCTTGGCTGATCAAACTGAGGTAAACAAATGCACCCCTTTTCTTTCTACTTTCTCGCAATGAAATTGGGAATTTGGTTGAAAGTTTGATTTTTGCATTCGACTTAAACAAAACTTAGCTACGATTTCTTATATACTGTTGTTGGTGTTGTTTTTCGATCAGAATTGGAGTTTTATCTCAGTAACCGGATAGTGATGTTTGGAAGAAACAGTTGCGTAATTATAGTATTGATTTTGGAATTTGTATGTTTTGAGGTAGTTGTATCGAGTATTGTTAGGCAAAATTGACATCTAATGTAAACCTTCCATGTTTTGAGTACGAAGATGAAATTCTAATTCTGATTTAAAAGAGTAAAGAATTGTTAGTGTGTTTGATTTGGTGGTAGAGAACCATGGTGGATAATTAAATCATGGTGAATTCACCGTAAAAGTAATTATTTTTTGCTTCTAAAAGTCATGGTGAGTTCAACTCACCACGGATTTACACATACACTGTTTAAGTTTTGTCCTTTTTGTACTTTGTGTTGTGCTTTTCATACGAAGAAATATGCTTGCAATAGACCCTACAACACTTTCTTTTTACACTCTTTTATTTGGTGAAATTCACGAGAGTTTCACTGGGTCACATTTCTGATTTGGTGGGTTTTATTCCCAAAGTAGTGAGAGTTACGGGAATTTGAACTAATAGATGAAAGTGTAAGTGTGTAAGAAAGAAAATTTAATGAGTGTGTCAGCATTCTTCTAATATGAAATTAAGTGTTTTAGAGAATATTAGTTGCCTTGCCATTTATTTGAAGTGCTTTGAGAGTTAAAAAACCAGCTGCTTGAAGGGTTTTGGGGAAGGTATTTATTTTAAATTTTAAAATTTAAATTCTTGGGCATGGCCAAACGGATATATGGGAGCAAATGTGTGGCACGAGTATGGTATAGCATAAATTCGGTGCAATTGTCTTAAAAGTAAAACATTATATGTGCATAAGTACATTGCAAAGGAATAATGGCTAGGATGATCTATTTGCGGCCAGTGTTGATTGAATTGATACAGTATAAATTGTTGTACGTGTATTATCACTCAATTATGATTTACTGAATACTATATTATATGTAATATTGCAAGCTGTTCCACTTCAATAGGGGAAATGGGGTATGGTGAAAAATTCTGTTGAAAAGAGATTGTGTTTTTTCTTTATAGAATGATTATTTGGAACTGGTAAAAATGGCAGTGTCCTTTTGATTCATTGAGTTCAGCTAAATTAGCATACAATGTTTCTTACCGAGTTATAAGCCTTTGTTAAAGTCATTTTACTTTGTAAATATGGTATTCAGTATTCTACAATGTGCCCTTTTAACAGCGGATTCTGATGACTTGTGATTTAACTATGTTCTCCTGCTAGATCATTCATTCATTAAGTTAAATAAAAATTGGGTTTAATTCAATGAGAAAAAAAGTTGAAAGTTTTCCATTCTACTAACAGAAAATTCTTTTGGCACCAGATTATAACCAATGGAAAGTACAGGAGCTGTGAGCATAGAGCAATTACTAATCCTGATAGAGCAAGGCTCTCCGTGGCGACATTTCATGACCCTGCTAAGACAGTCAAGATCTCCCCTGCTTCTGAATTGATAAATGAGTCATCACCTGCTAAATACCGGGATGTTGTTTATGGAGACTATGTATTATCATGGTATACCAAGGGCCCTGAAGGAAAACGAAATATTGATGCACTTGTGCTGGATTCTTAGGTTAGAGCTTATTTCACTCCTGGTCTCGTGGCCTGTCTTGTATCTTGTGGGTGAAAGGAAGTAAAATTACTTTATCATGCAAAACTTCTTATATCATCATACTTTTTTCATATGGATCTTGGGTTACAACTCAAACTGAGAATGACACAAATGTGTGAATTTGAACAATAAATTATTCAAAGTATCATAAACATTGATTGTAATTTCTCTCCACCAATTTCATGTTCAGGCTTTCAAGAGGTCCATAGTTCAAATGAGCATGAAGATTTTTCTTGAAATGCTAGAGAGCAGGTAGCATATCTTAATGCTGTCGAGGCATTAATGTATCTTGATATTTATACACAACCTAATATTAATAAGATATAGTTTTTCACCTACATGACACAAAGATATTTGGAATGAAGTTGAGGCACAAAATGCTACAATTATTTCTTTCATTAACTTATCACATATGATAAAGGTAAAACACTGTTATCTATCACAATAAATACCTATAAATTCTCCCCTTAATTGTCGTATCCTTCTTATAACTTTTTCTTCAAGTCTTTACTTTCCTTTTGGAATCGGTAAAAGAATTAGTCTTGATACTGCATCTGCCTTTTAAGCATAGCCACGTCTCTAGAGATCTCGTCTTCTGCCTTTAAACGCAATCGTCTTTCCTCACGAATTTCGTGTTTAATACTCAAAACTAACTCTTGCATAATGGAAATCCTCGCATGCAAATCATCTGGATAAGCATAAGTTGATGTCAGTGGTTGATCTTCAGGTTCCTCCACAGAATACTCAACTGCAGGATTCTCTGCAAAATGTGTTAGAAAAGGATGAACAAATGGATAGGTAGTTTTGGCAAACGAATGTTAATTAGGAAGAATTCTTTCAAATTCTGCACACTTCAAGGCTCTCCTTGTTATCCTGATTTGCCTCATAGGAAAATGATATTTCTTTTCTTTGACATAAAACTTATACGAGTTTAAAAGAATTTTTGACAACTTTTTTCACCACAAAAAGTTCTTTATTTTTAGTAGAAAGACTCTAAATAAACTCTTTAAGTTTGTATTCAAACAAACTGTTTGCATACATTGTTAGTGATACACGTGACCTTCTGTTCAAAGGTAAGCTTGGTCATCTTATTAGGCTTGATAAATGTTGTGTGAATGCTTCCAAGACAAAGGGAAATGTTATGACCTCTTCTTTCACAATTCATCTTAATCTTGACAAGGTCCTTGATTATAGCCTTCCTCTTTTCAATTAAGGTGAAAAATAAGTCTCGATCTTATTCTCTCCAACCTTGGCATTCTGGAAAATTTTCAGTGTTGTTAAGCGTGATCTCCATGTAGAATAAGGATCTTAGTAGGCACATAAAATTTCTACATCATGATCTGTTATTCAACCGTGCAATTGGTCTTCAGACTCTTCACAGGCCTGTACTTGAACACTGGAGCATTCAAATTCGTGTTGTATCCGTATTTCCACTCGTAATTGTAAGGACTAATGACAGGATCATAGCTTGGGGCAGTGGTTTCGTGATTTGTATCAACCTTTTCTACTTTTTGTATGCTTTCACCTCAGCAAAATCACTATTTACATTGTTCAACCAATTGTATAGTAACCAACCTAGCAAGTAATGTGATGTTACTTTTATAATTTAAAACAACTATTTTACATTAATTTTTTTTAAAAAAATGATGTACAAAATTTCCTTTACACTAGTTCAAATTAGAACTGATATAGCATCTGTTTTTAATTTCAAAATTGCATTTTTTTTTCACACAATTCTCTTTGGCTCATTCCTAAGTATTTTTTTTTACAATTTCAAACAATTTTACAAACAAAAAACTTAGTGGTATAACTTAGACCATAATTGTCTAAATAGACAAACGTACAAGATAAGACTTGGTTAATATTGGTGGTGCAAGTCCTGGTGGCCATCATATTATAATATACTTTAGCATCTTGTTTTATTCATTTATAAATGATATAGAGCATTTCATTTATGTGCATATCATAACATAATAAAATTTGTAAAATAGTTCTTAAATATATCTAGTAAAGTATTTTTGTTAATATGGATAACAATAATATATTGAGATTAGTATGTGAGCAATGACCTCATATTAGAGATTATAAATATAAGATATTAAATCTTTACATTAATTATGTAACAAAATATTAGATTGTCTTGCCATAAAATCACTATATAAAGAAGTTATGAACATATGTCATAAACAATTCTCAAAATGACTATGATATACGTAGTCCTTAAATCTTAAATCACTATGATCTCTACATGACGAGTTGTATGTTTTGTTATTATTTAACATTGCTTGTGATTTTCTAAATGTTGTATTGTGTAGACTTTACATATATTTCCTTATGATTTTACTAAATATATTATGAAAATTATTATTTTGTATGCTTTTAGAACTTTTTTTGAAGTTAATTTTTTTTTGTAAAATTATAAATAAATAAATTTAAATTTTTTCTGAGTTTTATTTACTCTTAGTTTAGTTTTGGTTATCTTTTATGGGGTGAAGGAATTTGTGGAAAGATGGACTCTAACTCACGTGAACCACTTTTGATCACTTAAGCAAGACAAATAAAAATAGCTAAACCTAAATGAGAAGTAATCATACTTAAGAGAGTCAAACTCCAAAAGATAAAATAGTTTTGCTTGAGCAACACTTTTTGTCATTTAACCACACATCTGATAAGAATCATTATTACTGTTATTATTTAAAGGCCCAATAAAGAAGTTATGACCTATCTCACATTCTAATGACATTTTATTTATTTATTTATTTATAGAAAAAGGATGATTACATGACACCTTCATGACATCTCCATTCATCATATGTGTCTTTTTATCCTTTTTTAATTTCTTGATGACCATGAGTAACTAAACTCACTCGTTTTAGATGTTGATGTAACTCAATTAAATCCATGTATTTATTTTTTTTAAAATTAATTATTAATGTTTTATTTAGTTATTTATTTTCTCTCTTTCTATTTTTAATGGTTATTTTGGTTTGATCACCCATGATTTTTTTAAGACTGAATTTTATTGAAAAATGCTTTTAAATATGTGAATTGAAAGATGAAATTAATAAAACTTAGGTATTAGCCAATTTTTCTAACTTCTTATTATAATGCAAGTCGTTTGGTTAAATTTAGATGATATTGGGAGACTAATCAAAAAAACTTAGATTTTCACACTTAAAAAAATTAGAATTTCATTAAATTTATGATTATTGGAATAATTTGAATTAAAAACTAACAATTGATTGTCCAATATATGTGAAGATGATCTAGCGAAATCAAATTCAAATGCTTTTATTCATATTCATACAAATTATTTTTTCTGCAATTTTATTCAAAAGGAAAATCTTAAACATCCAATTTTATTATCTTTGAAGTCTTTGCTTTAACTTTTACAAAAAATTAAAGACATCTTTATAACCTACATAGGATAGAATTGAATTTGAGTAAATATTTGTAAGTTTCTTCAGAAACGGTACTTGGACACACCAAGTTTGACACTTGTGCAATTTGGTTTGCTTGCTGAAGACTCGAGTGTCCTAACGGGGCATGTGATTCTCAGTAGCCAAGAACTTCCTTGAAGCACAATTATAATTGCTTCCTCCTTCCTTGTTCATGAAGCGTGTGGAAATTTGTTCCCATGTACTTTGCATGTTGAGATTCGACTCGTATTGTGTGACTAAGCGATTTGCACAAGGGAATTTCATGTTATAAGAGGAAATTCTTTATCACAATTTTAACCTCTTTCCCATGATCCATTGTTTTAGGTCGCATCTCCCGACATAGTCTAATTTCCACTTCAAAATATTTTTAAGCAAAACAAGATGCATAAAGAAAGATGAGAATTCAAAATCTACTTAGATTTACAAGCACAACATTTCATCACCGTCTTCTTCTTCTTAGTTGAGTTATATAGGACAAAGACAAATGTTTGTTAAAGACCATTCTGCCTATATATGTTAGAATATAAACTTGTTCCTTGAAAAACTCACATAAAACAAAAAAAATAAATAAAATTCCAGCAGAGATAAAATTTCTTCAATTTTTATTAGCACAAATACATTTTTTAATTCAATAATTTTTTAACAAAATCACATATCCCCATAGTTTTCAAATTTTATAATAAGATGAATAAGATTTAATCTAGTCTCGAAAAGAGGAGTTTAGGTTTTAAATTTGACTCATTGAAACATTTTCTTAGGTTGAATTCATATTTTTCCAGCTTCATTTACTATCTTACATTCTTTAAATTTTTTTGACAATTGTATATCAATAATAAACTATTTTATTTAACGGATTTTTTTTGTATAACTTAATATTATATTTATAAGAATATTAATTATTTAAAAATGTATATTGTACAATATATTATAATATTAATATTGGCATATTATATTATAATGTTGAGTTAATCCGGCATGAGTTCATATATTTTGAGTATTGATCTGGTTGAATTCAAATTTAAATAAATAATCTGATAAAATTTCAGAATGAGAAGGAATAGATATAAACCCAACTCAACCTTTTTCTTGGTCACCCCTTCCAGGTAAGAAATTTAACCAAATTTGATAAAATGACATTGCAAAAACTGGATTGAAATTTATGGTCAAAGAATTCAAATTTTAGTGAGAGATGGATACCGCGAAGAGACAGAGGAGTAGCAGTGGGACGAAGAAGAAACTGATGAGAAACAGCAATAGGATCACGGTAAGGACTCACAGTCTGATTCTTCTTCATATGGTCCCGGTTGGTTGAAACAGTACCACGGTTAGTGCCTGCATGAGAAAAAATGGATTGAAATTAAGAAACTTATATAACTCGTCTAAAATCTAACTCAACAAGTGTTCATGCAAATTTTTGGCTCTAAATGTTCCGTTCTTGGTGTGAGCATGATGTATGATGTGTTGGATATCCACATGGATAATATATCATAAAATTGAGTTACTCTAAGTGAATTTGTTGAGAGGTGGATATGGTTAAAGTATAATGAGATATGGGTACCATAATTTGAAGGGCGAGGAGAGGAAGAAGGATGGTGAAGAGGAGAAGGTTGGTAACGTGGGACTAGGAGTGGAGCTGGAGGTGGAGGTGGATTCTTGATATGGTCCCATCTGGGTGAGACATGATCAGTACTAGTGATGGGTACGTCTGCATGAGATGATAATTGGCTCCTCCTGCGTGTATCAACGTTGTTGTTACTATGAGGTGCATCAGAGGATGTTTGGTTGTTCCTGCTGGCTGGAGCAGAAGAAAGAATGTGTGCAGAAGATAAATCTTGGTTGCCGTGGCCTTGGTTGTTGAATGCATCACTTGTAAAAACCAGTGTTGTGCCACTCAGATCGAATAGTGTCCAACTCCGAGGACGAATTCTCCTCTCATTGCTCATTTGACTCTTCCTCCAAACTTTCCTTTCCCCCTTTTCGTCCCTAGCTACACTTTCCTCTTACTTATCAATCATTTCATTTATTCCATAGACGAATGCTTGGAGCATGCAAAATATATGGTTATTATAACACTACTTGGCTTTGAAACCAAGCTAATAGTATTTTTGAGAAATTCTGCGTACCCCACTATAATTATGAGATATCGGAACAGTTATTTTATTTATTTATTTATTTTTATTATAATTATTTGTTTAATTTTTATTTTAATTTAATATTTTTTATAATTTATCTATATAAATTTTTTTTATATTTTTTAATTTATATCTTAATGTAACATCTATTATAATTAAAAAGTTTAATATTAATATTCTGTTAATATGTTTTAGTTTTTTTTTTTGTGATAATTTTTTAAATTTATAGTATAAATTAGTTTTTCAGTTGTATTATTTATTTTTTTTATTTTAATGTTTTTATAATATTATTATGATTTTTTGTTTTTAATTTTTTAATTTTATCATATATAAACAAAATTTATTATGAAAATTGACTTTTTAATTATTTTTTTTAATTAGTCTTTTTGATTGATTCATTTTATACAAATTTTTAATCTAAAATTTATGTTATTTTAAACTTATCTTTTAAAATTTATTTATTCACATGTATCAAAATCCTTCAATTTTCATGGATACCATACCAATTTCCTAATATTTTATGGTCCAGAGTTCGGCACCCACATGCATGCCTAAATAATTTATATAGTATTTTTATTTAAAATTATATATTTAATTATATATTATTTATTGGTTCAACAATATATAATTAGATTGTTCTATCAATATTATTAACTATAATTTTTTTAAAAACTAGCTGCTTGAAGGGTTTTGGGGAAGACATTAATTTTAAATTTTAAATTCTTGGGCATGACCAAACGGATATATGGGAGCAAATGGCACGAGTATGGTATAGCATAAATTCTGTGCAATTGTCTTAAAAGTAAAACATTATATGTGCATAAGTGCATTGCAAAGGAATAATGGCTAGGATGACCTATTTGCGGCCAGTGTTGATTGAATTGATACAGTATAAATTGTTGTACGTGTATTATCACTCAATTATGATTTACTGAATACTATATTATATGTAATATTGCAAGCTGTTCCACTCCAATATGAAAAATGGGGTATGGTGAAAAATTGATCTGCTGAAAAGAGATTGTGTTTTTTCTTTATAGAATGATTATCTGGTAAAAATGGCAGTGTCCTTTTGATTCATTGAGTTCAGTTAAATTAGCAAACAATGTTTCTGACTGAGTTATAAGCCTTTGTTAGAGTCATTTTACTTTGTAAATATGGTATTCAGTATTCTACAATGTGCCCTTTTAACAGCGGATTCTGATGATTTGTGATTTATATATTTTCTCCTGCTAGATCATTCATTCATTAAGTTAAATAAAAGTTGGGTTTAATTCAACAAGAAAAAAAGTTGAAATTTTTTCCATTCTACTAACAAAAAATTCTTTTGGCACCAGATTATAACCGAAGAAAAAGTACAGGAACTGTGAGCATAGAGCAATTACTAATCCTGATAGAGTAAGGCTCTCTGTGGCAACATTTCATGACCCTGCTAAGACAGTCAAGATTTCCCCTGCTTCTGAATTGATAAATGAGTCATCACCTGCTAAATGTCGAGATGCTGTTTATGGAGACTATGTATTATCATGGTATACCAAGGGTCATAGGAAAACGAAATATTGATGCACTTGTGCTGTATTCTTAGGTTAGAGCTTATTTCTCTCCTGGCCTCATGGCCTGTCTTGTATCTTGTGGGTGAAAGGAAGTAAAATTACTTTATCATGCAAAACTCCTTATATCATCATACTTTTTTCATATGGATCTTGGATTACAACTCAAACCGAGAATGACACAAATGTGTGAATTTGAACAATAAATTATTCAAGGTATCATATTGTAATTTCTATCCACCAATTTCATGTACAAGCTTTCAAGAGGTCTTCAAATGAGCATCAAGATTTTTCTTGAAATGCAAGAGAGCAGGTAGCATATCTTAATGCTGTCGAGTTATTAATGTATCTTGATATTTATACAGAATCTAGTATATATAATTTGTTGTTAACTCATTAACAAGATATAATTTTCACCTACATGACACAAAGATGCTGGAATGAAGTTGGGGGCACAAAATGCTACAAAAACATTAGAAGGCAATTAATCATCCTATGATCTAATATTTTCTATTTTTATGATGATAATCAGTTACAAAATTTTATTGAAAAAGATCAAAAGATATGCATTTTCTTTCTAAAAAGATTATATAATCTTAGTTGATTACAAGACAAATGATTTAATTTTCATCAAGGCACAAAAAAATAAATATTATAGTGATATCAAACCATATCTTAAAAATACATATGCATGTATGATCATCAAAACCTATCAAAGCATACTCTTATGATCATATAATTATATCAGAGCAGATAATAACAATCAAACTGTAGAAAAAAACAAGCAAATCAATCAGAGTATAAAGCCATGTGAATTTTCAAACAAGCATATTATGTAAATTTTGATTGAAGCGATAAAAAATAATGTTGATAATATGTTTCTACATTAAGATGATGTGTTTTGAATTGAGAATTAGAGCACAAAATTTGGCAACTCAAATAGATAAGCAATAAATACCTATAAATTCCCCCCCTTAATTGTCGTATCCTTCTTATAACTTTTTCTTCAAGTCTTTACTTTCCTTTTGGAAATAGGTAAAAGAATTAGTCTTGATATTGCATCTGCCTTTTAAGCATAGCCACGTCTCTATAGATCTCCTCTTCTGCTTTATATGCAAGCCTCTTTCCTCAGGAATTTCGTGTTTAAGACTCAAAACTAACTCTTGCATAATGGAAATCCTTGCATGCAATTCATCTGGATAAGCATAAGTTGATGTCAGTTGTTGATCTTCAGGTTCCTCCACAGAATACTTAACTGCATAGTAATTAGGAAGAATTCATAGTAATTACTTTTAGATTTAGTTTTGTTATTGAATTTAAGCATATTAGATAGAGAGTGTCACAAAGTATTTTTATTAGGGTAGTAGTGACCACTGCTTTAGATATCCCAATAAAACATACATCCAGCGTCTTGTCATCGTTATTTTATTTTATTTTTCTTCTTTTTTCAAGAGCATTTCCGATCAACTCAATCTCGACCAAAGACTACCCTTGAAATATCAAACTCAATAATTTAATAATGTAAGTAGTTTAGCATTTATGTTTCTTAATTAAAAATTGATGGTCGATCCTTATTTTGAACATGATTCTACAATTAGAAATAATATTTTATCTTATAAGGTCAATTTGGTAAAAAAGAATTATAACTTCTTACTTAATTATTTTTTAATTAAAAAAATTAATACAACTCGATTATGTATAATGTGAAAATTGATGAGACCTTAATATAATCTAGTGTCATGTAATATTATCTCTAGAATAAAGAGCATTTAACAAGTATAAATATTAATATATTTAATAAAGTTTTCTTATATAACGTAAAATATAAATATAATTTGTTTTTTTTTTCTTCAATGAGTTGTAAATGCTAAATTCCTACTTAAAAATTTAGTTCGTGGATAAACATTAATAATATATTTAAATATAATTTTTGTCCTTATGATTTTTTTTTTCATTTTTAGTTCTAGTAATTGTTTTTGTTATTATCTTATTCTTATTTTTTTTAACGTTTCAAAAATAATTCTTATCATTAATTTCTCTTAACAAAAATCTTACATGACAAACGAAATATATATTTTATTTGTTATATTCTATTTTACCATTGTCACATAGGTAAATTAATTTTAATTTTTTTAAACAAAATTTTAAAATACACTTTACTATTACTATTTTATTGTACTCTTTATACACAACCTTTTTATGTCGTTGAACGTTGTGCCTTGGTTGTCAATGGTGACAAAGCTAGATCACCGACCTCCCTTCTCTGTTGAGGTGTCTCACTTGTTGTTGTGACAATGGTAGGTGATAACGTTCTTGATGTCTTGAGCTAATTAACGCAATTCTTCTTGACCTTGGAGAAGACAACATTGACAACGACACTAACAGAGTTGTGAACGCTCTAACCTCCATGGTGAGGTGGAGACTGTGATGACCTTGCAAAAGTGTTGGTCATTGACAGGACCGACCCAACATATTTTGAGGCTTTAAGCAAGTTTTGAAGTTTGACCTTTTTAAAGATGAGAGAGAGACAAGAAAATCAACAGTCACCTATAAAAAAGAAACTTTTAGCAAAAAATTACAATACTAGGATCAAACCCAATTTTTACAATACTAGACTTACAATGGTCAACAAACCAAAGTTAGTACTAATACAACTAATTAATTAAGTTCTATAAGTAAAAAAAATATTTTTGGGGCCTAAAGTTAAAGCTTGAGCAATCTTATGCTTGGGCCAACCCTGGTCATTGAGGACGAATTCAGTTTCATTATCAAGATTGCAGATTGTGAGAATTTGCTCCTCATTGGGGGAATTCAAATTGGGATTGGGGGCTTTAGGGTTTGTGGCAACGAATTTGGATCAGAGAAGCAAGGTGTGATTGCAAGGGTGAGAATTTGGGTGTACTGAAGTGTATTTTGAAATTTTGTTTAAAAAAAATTAAAATCAATTTATCAATAATGAAGTGGAACATAATGCATATAATATATATTTAGTTTGTCATGTGAGATTCTTTTTAATGAAAGTTGATAGTAAAAACTATTTTTGAAATATTATAAAATATTAAAAATGAAATAACAACAAAAAAATTTACAAAGACTAAAAATGAAAGTGATAAATTATATAGAAGGAAAAATTATATTTAATCTTTAAAATATATTTCAACACCCTTGTCTCGCTCCTATAATATATATATATATATAAATATATATAAAGATGTTATCAAATTAATTATATTATTAATTAGATAAAACATTTAAATTCGCTAATCATATCCCAGGTGTAATGCTAAGAGTTAATCACCTATACACTACCAATGTAAAGTTTTTTTATACTAAAAACTAATTATATCTCTTAATTGTGTCATGTCACTGTAAACACATTTACTTTTAACAGTGACATGACACAATTAAGAGATATAATTGGTTGCCAGTATAAAAAAACTTTACACTGACAGTGTATAAGTGATTAACTCTAATGCTAATTGTAACTGTTAAAATCTTTGCTATTAAAAAAAAAGGTCCAGTTTTTTATTTTTAATTTAGTTCGAATTCATCGGATAATTAAGTCGTGATCGCGAGATAGTCCTGTGATTCACATGTACCATATTGCATGTATTTGTAAATCATGCACATTTGATTAAGTATTGTTTATGTAAGAAACATTTCCTTGCTAACCTTTTCCTCAATTTGCTAATCTTTGAAACTCTGAGATAATAATAGCCCGAATCCTTGTTCTGAGTAGTGGGGTGGGTACCTGCAAAAATATTTCAACGTTCAAGTAAGTGTTTGATTCAAAGCACTAAATGCAGTAGTATTAAATGATCATACCTGTCTTTCCTATTTCATCAATCTCCTATTTATAGTGACGTATTTGAGTCTGATGGACTTTCTTGATTATGACTTGGATAATTAGTAAATTAAATCTTAATTCATGGTGACGTGGGTATTTATTATTTAATTTACTATTAACGTGGGTCAGATTAATTAGAGGGTAACTTATTCTTTGTTGGCCGAGTACATGCTCAACTTATGCCACGCCCGAATAGGTATTTGACTGGTGTCCTACCTGAAGTGTCCTTTCTTGGTTCAAGTGATACTATTGTTGGGTTCTAGGATTTAACCAAATGTATGCTTGGGTCATGTCAAGGTCGGATGGGTTGGGTATTCGGTTTGCACCATAGCCGAATAGTTTAGTGTTACTTGATTAATAAGTTTCTTCTTGGCTTCCTTGTTTTCACGTGTTGGCTGGCCGAAGAGGTTGTCCCATTCCTAATACAAGTATTAAGAAACTATATAGAGTAAAACACTTTTTCTCATTATTCATTTCATAATCATAACCATTAAACGAATTTTGAAAGTATTAATATATTGATATTTTTTAATGATTAAAATACACATTTTAGATTCTATAATTTTACTTATTTTATTTGTTAATTTTATAGTTTAAAATAGATTTTTTTAATCTTTATATTTATTTTTTTAATCTCTATAATTTAAGATACATTTTTTAAGTTCTTATACTTATATTTTTTAATCATTTTAATTCTTATGTCATTTTTTTTTGTAACGATATCTCTTTTGTGTTGATATGATAAGTGTATTAATTCAATTTTATATGTCTTATGTTAAATTTATTTTGCTATAATTATTCTATATTAGACCCCTTGATACTTTATGTCTCTTTTGTACTCTCATTTATAAAGTTTATTATTGAGACACCTTTTTCTACTCTTACAAAATTGAAGATTTTTATCATATCAACACAAAGTACATAACATTACAAAAAAAAAATAACAACATGGACTAAAAGAATTTGTAAATATAGGAAGTAGAAATATCTGTTTGAAACAAAAATTAAAAAAGATAAATATAGAGACTAAAAATGTCAATTTTAAACTATAGATACTAAAAAGTAAAGTAAGTAAAAATATAGGAATTAAAAAAGCATTTTAACCTTTTTTTAATTCATATAAGTTTTTTTTTTGACTGAAATTCATATAAAATAGTTAAATATTTGATAAAATAAAAACTTTGACCCAAAGAAGTATTTGATAAAATAACAATATATAGAAGAAGAAAAAATCATAGATGAATATATAATAAAATCTCATTTCATTTATTTAATTTTAAAATTTATCAAATACCATTTAATTGAAATGAAAAATAAGCCATGTATCCATTCCATTCTTCCAAGTCTACCTTCTAATAATAATTTTTTACATCATAAATTAAATTCATAAATGGAATTTCTATGGTATTTAGCGTGGGTGAATTCTAATCCTGGACTGTTGACTTCGTATGTACAGGCATTTTGATTCTGCCAACCATAACTATTCATATAGGGTCAATTTTCTCAAAACAACACTTATAAAAGAGAAAAATAAAATAAGTTGTTTTACAAGTTAAAACTATTTTTTGTATAAATTAATTTCAATTTATATAAAAAGTTCCTTTTTTTTTTTCTCATTGAAATACTTTCGGTAAAATTTATCCCAAATGTCCATAGAACTAAAGTTTACTCTATTTTAACTAATCATATATCAGTAATAACGAGAGTAATTAGTTCAAGATAAGAATAAGTTTGACTCTATCCTTATCACATAGAATTAATCTAGAGTTCCTTAATTTGTTAAACAATGGCAATCAATTCAATATAATGGATTCATTTTTTATTATCTCTGAAACATTTCTCAATATTAATACATATTGTATTTGGATGCTTTATCTATAACATACTAAAGTACAAAAGATACTTTTTTATCTCCCTGAATTATTTTTAATAAATAATAAATAATAAAAATATATAATAACGAGTGATTATTAAAAATACATGTGGTTACTTTCCTATTTTTGTAAATTTTTAACTAATTAATAATCACTTTGTTTTAAAATAATAGAGACACAGTAGTATATAATAATATTTGGCTTATAAAAAAAATTCAGCGTATACATAGTCAATTGCACAGGGAGGAACAGTAACAAAGTTATTGAAGATAATTGTCACAGAAGCTAGCACACACAACAACGATCCAAAATAAGTAAACGATAGAGTATTTAGACACTTAACAACAATATAACATAATGTTTATACGATTGAGTGATTGAATATAAATTTATAAGCAAATGTCTTTGACTGTAGCTTGTTGGTCAGGCCTTAGAAACCATGAATTTTGACATGTTTCTTCTTTACTATGCCCTCCTGTTTGTAACATCAAAACACAGGAATTTACAAATAAATCATGAATTGCACTGTTCTTTAGTAAGAACAATTGCCACATTAATTTTGCAATATACTTAACATGTTTTTACCTGAACAAGGAAAGAAGATACAGTCCTTCTTTGATCTCCGAAAAGTTCTATAACCTGCATCCATACAAAATTGATCTTTAGCCTTTCATTCATGAGAAAATAATTTATGCACACACAATATATAATAAATTTATACTATAATTCAATCACAAATTTTAAAATTATTTTAAAATTTATATAAATAATTATTTATGATTAGTTGATAGTATAATTTTTTTTACAATGTTAGTATTAATGAGTTAATATTTATTTATTTTTCATAAAAATGAATGTATTTATATATTGAACAACTAACATTATAAGTTATGTCTATTAATTGAGAATTTTGTTTCTTGACTTTTGAGTAGTATTATTAAATATAATTATCATTTACACTATTTAATTTTATAAGTAGTTTTAGAATAAAATTTTAAATTATAATATCATTAATTATGATTAAATAATTTAATTATTTTTATTGATTATAGTTTTAAATAGTATTGTATAATGCATTAGTTGGGAAGAAGATAACACAAACCTTGCCAAACTGAGGGTCGTTGACAAGACGACCATTACAAGAACATTGTTCCATGAGGTCCTTGAGTATCTTGTTATGCTTTTTCTTTATTCCTTCAACAGTTGTTATGATTTTCCTTCCCTTAAGCTGTAATAAACCCACATGAACGTGCTTTTTTACCTTCCTATCTGTTTCCTCGTCGTCTAAATCCTCAAACTCTCTATCCTCATCATCTGAATACTCATTTTCTGAATACTCACCATCACCATCATCATCATCATCATCTTCATCTTCATCTTCATCTTCACCATTTTCCTCAGGGGAAACTATTCAATCATCAAATCACGTCATTAACCAGTGATAAATTATATTGAACGGATATGTAAAAATTTCTAATCAAAGGATTAATGATCATGATCATTATATAAGGCACGGTAGTTAAGTCTTGTTAATTAAAAAAAGTGAAAAAGTGAGAGCTTTATTGAATTACTTTTTATACTTTTATTTCGTGTTTACATTTCTTAGAATATTTTACTTTTATTTTAGTTTTTGTTCCGATATGTCTAAAAGTCCCACATCGTTTAGAAATTGAGGTAAATGGTAGTTTATAAACACCTTCTCTCCTTAACCCACCAAGACGCCTTTTAAAGGATAAAACCATGACGGTTCAACAAGTGCCAAAACGGACAATACCTCGGATGCAATGACCCTAACGATGACAGCAGACTTATGATAGGAACATTTGGCCCTAGAAGGGGGGCTTGGGGCTTGTTCCGGTATGGATGGTCCAAATAGCTACAATTATATAAATCGGTACTTAATCACAATTTTTAAAGTTTGTTGGGATGTAAAATTTTAAAATTTAAATTATTTTGATTTTAGTTTTTATTATTTTTTAAATATTTTATTTGGATAAATAAATTTAAATTTGTTAAATTTAAAATTCTTAGGTTGGGTAGAGTAATTTGATTTCCACTAAAAGTAAAATTGATTTTAAATATATATATTTATATATATATATATATATATTAAAATGTTAATATTAAACTTTATAACAAT